TGATTCTTGGTTGACAGTTTTTTTCTTGCAGGGTTTTGTATATGTCTCCCCATTGCCTTCTTGCCTGCATGGTTTGTTCTGAATAGTCAGTCAGCACTTAATCTAATTTGTTTGCCTTTATAAGTTATATTTCTCTTCTCCCTGGCCGCTCTTAGTATTTTCTCCTTGTCTTTGGTTTTGGAGAGCTTGATTATTATATGTCTTGGAGATTTTCTTTTGGGGTCTATCCTTTTTGGGGTACGTTGGGCTTCTTGAATGTATATTTTCTCATCTTTAATGATGTTAGGGAAGTTTTCCTCTAGAAGCTCTTCCACTATCTCCTCTGTAGATTCTTGATTCTTCTTGTTCCGGAATGCCAATAAATCTTACATTATTACTCTTCATGTTATCCAGCATGTATCTTAGATTATCTTCAGATTGTTTTATCTTTTTAGCTGTTTGCTGTTCTATCTTGGCTATATTGACAGCTCACTAGTTCTGGCTTCCGTCTCTTCCAGTCTGCTCCTTGCCCCTTTCAGGCTATTGTCTATTTCTGATATCTTGTTATTGATCATCTGGACATCTTTTGCAGGTTTTGAATTGTTTCCAGTGCTGTGTCAATCCTATTAGATTGTTCCTGCAGGATTCTGGTTACTTCTTCCTTGTTTTCCTCAACCCCTTTTCAGAGTATTTGAATTTGTTTCCATATCATTCTTCTGAATTCCCTCTCAGGCAAATCCAGAACTTGCTCTTCCTACTGTATAATATCTTTGTCTCCAGCTCATTTGTATCTGCTGCCTTTTTCTGCTTTTGGAAATGTTTCACTAATATTGTTTCTTGTTGGACATGATTATTCTTATTTTGTTGTAATTATTATTGCTACTATCAGGAGGTAGGCGTCTGATGCCATCCAAGAGTCACCGTATTTCTGTTGCTCTCTGCGCCCTGGTCAAACCTCCTTTCCCTGCCTGCTACATGCCTTGAGATTTCAAGCTAGTGCAGGGAACTCTCCTGTGGCTTTTGTCCACTTGAGAATCTCCGTTTGGGCTGGCTCTAGCCCCTCACTTAAAGCTCTACAGGGGCCGCGGCAGTCGCTGCCTGCAGTGGGCAGGTGAAAGTTCAAAATGCCAAAAAGTCACTCGGGCTGGTGGGTGGAATCCGCATCTGATGACGTCTGAGAGTCACCATGTTTCTGTTGCTCTCTGCGCCCTGGTTAAACTTGTTTTCCCTGCCTGCTACGCGCCTTGAGATTTCAAGCTAGGGCAGAGAACTCTCCTGCGGCTTTTGTCCACTTGAGATTCCCCGTTTGGGCTAGCTCTAGCCCTGACCTCAAAACTCTACAGGGGTCGAGGCAGTCCCTGCCCGCAGTGGCGGGTGAAAGTTCAAAATGCCAAAAAAATCCTCCTTGACGTGATTTTTTAAAAAAGGGAGTAGAGGAGGCAGATGCCCTGAGCCTTATGGTGATTTGAGGGTTTTGAGTCCACTACTGGACGGCCTCCTCTGTGAGATCTCTGCCTTTGTCCGTGGAGCCCTCCTTACCTATGTCGTCTTACCGTGGGGTACCGGAAGACCGAAAATGAATTACTTTTATTTTTCATATCAAGTTATGTCATTATTATGTTAATGTATCAGGATATAATTTCTACATAGGTAGCTTAATCCTATTTCTTAAATAATACACAAGGGTAAGAAAAATGTATTGTTACAAGATCATAGAAACCTATTTAAGTAAAAAATAGCCAAGTTTCAGCTATTGTTTCTTTATTCATCTTCCATCTAGGTGTATATATTTTTGAGGGCCATATTACCATCTCTTTAATACTTTCCTGAAGCATTTTGCAGTCTCCAATTTACGTCACATCAAATTGACAGTTTTGGCATCTACAGGGACTCAAAATTGTGTTCCTTTGAAATGTTTTTTTGAGTTTTAGAGACAAAACAAAAACCTGTAGGGCAATATCAATGTGTAGGGTATACTGACTGAGTTTCCTAAGGTAATTTTTGTAGGACAGCCCTTGCTACCCCTCAAAGAATGAAAAATCTCCTGTTATAATAAAAAATATTGCTTTGCACATATTTTCTGTGCTATTTCGGACCAATTTGGTATTCCATTTTCTTAAAATTTCTTCCTATTAAGCCCCTGTGATCAACTTGATTCCTTCAAGAAAAATCTATCAAGACTACCCTTTGGTTATCCCAAAAGAAAGTTGCCCTAACCTTCTGAGCTGACCTCTGTCTTGAATTTAACTTTTCAGCAGATGCCTTCAGAAGCTGGTTTTGCTTGACCCTTTTTTTTTTTTTTTTTTTAAGTTACCAGTCGCTATGAGTCGGAACCGACTCCATGGCACATAACAACAAACAGGATTAAAACAAGTGTATTACTGAGAGAATTGTGAACTTGACCCCTAGCAGCAGTACTTTTTGGCTTCCCTGATGTGGATATGTAAGTAAATACATAAGGGAACTTCAAAAAGTTCATGGAAAGGTTTAATTAAAAGAAATTGGAATCTTTCCATAAACTTTTTGAATCCTTCATGTATTAATGATTATTGTTTGTTTCCCAGCTGGGTCAGTTTTCAACTCCTAGTGGCCCCATGTGACAATTAAGAACTGCCCCTTACGTTTTTTAGGTTAGAATTTTTGTGGAAACAAATTGCCAGGTCTACTCCTATTGAGCCATTGGAAAGTTGAAACCTCTGACCTTTAGTAGCTGAGCACTTAACCATTACACCACCAGGGCTTCATGTAGTCAGGATGTGAATGTGATGTATTCAGGAATGTAACGCTATCTATTCTTGCCTTGTTGTTAAGTGCTGTCAAGTCAGAGCCGACTCATAGCAACTCTGTAGGGTTTCCAAGGAATGGCTGGTGAGCTTGAACCGCCAACCTTATGATTCAAACCGACCTGGCAGCACCACACCAGGACTCCATATTCTTTTGTATTTATTAATAGTAATACAATTTTTTTCTCTATATTCATTGTAATAAAATTTATGTGGGGTTAGCTTATTCTGTGTCTTAGACATTGTTGGTAATCTGGACCTGTGGTTTTATCCTCCCATTGTTGATCATGTAAAATTTAAACCAAAAATTCACTTTTTTTCACCCGGCAAGTTGTCCTAAACTAGAATTGTTTGTGCAATCAGGAATAGAAAGAAAGAACAATCAAATCTATTTTCTTAGTTTTCAGTTTCACTGACTGAGTAGCTGAAGAACCTTCAATTAACTTTGCCTGGGGATTGTTCTCTAGTTGCAGGATTGCAGCCTGTTAATGGTCCCTCATAATCCACATACAAATAAAAGGAAACCAAAGATTGAACTTTAGGCCTTACCATATTTTATCTTAAGCATAATTATTCCTTAGAAGAATGATCATTTTCCAGTCTTTATACAGGTACATTTTGAGGATTGTCATAATCTCCTATTTACTCCCAACTCTTTATATAACTAAACTTCTAGAATTATACATCTGGATAAATGTGCAGTTGTTCTTTAATTATTGATAGGTGGTTTATGAATTTAATTTAGATTTCCTGCAAGAGCAATTGAAATGTTTGAGATAAAAGTTGTTGTTAAGTGCCATCAAGTTGGCCGAGCTATAGCAATCCTGTATAGGGTTTCTGAGGAGTGGCTGGTGAGTTTGAACCGCCGAACTTTCATTTCAAACCCACTTTGCAGTGGAGCGCTTTAACCCACAGTACCACACCAGGACTCTGAGATAAGAGTTACGTATAATTGTTGTTATTGCTACCCAGAGAACTCTGAATTAGCTATTGCTTAGTCGTCTTTTCCTCTCTTTGTGTGACATACTTGCAAGGGAGTAATCTTATCAGTAAAAAAACAGAAAAATAAGCTGAGAGGTAATCTATGCATAATCAGACTTTTAAAAAATCTTGTTTATTACTTTTATTTGGTTAAGGATCAGATAAAATATATTAGTTCTTAGTTATTCTTAAGGAGGATTCATTATTACTAGATCAACAAAGTATTAGCTCTTCTTGTGTTATGTAAAAATCATTTTATTATCCAATACTTTCATGGTAATGATTTTTGTCTTTGAAAGATTTTTATCAGTGTTTAGTACCTTTTGGCTTAAGTAGATGCAATTCAACTATTTGTATCACAAAGTTATTTTCCAAAAATCACTTGCATGTTATACATTTTTATTAACTATTCAAAAGCATGGCATACTAATATGGCTTTATAGCAGCATGTAAAAAATAAAGTTAGTATACCATGCTTACAAAAATACCATGGAGTGGTTGGCAAAAACATATAACATGTACGTTATCTGAATAAAAAAATGTATGCTTGTATAATTTTAATTCAGTAAGTACATAATATTGAAATTATACTTAATTCCCTAAACCATTTTTATATGCTTACAGAACAAGATTCAAAACAATGAAGAATCCCAAACCAATTTTATTTACACTAAGCATAATAATCAAGAAAAAAATGAAGATTCCAGGAAAGATAAGGGATTTGTAAAAATGAAAGATGCTTTAAGAGAAACTTGTAGAAACCAGGTAAAATTTATAGACTAACAAATGTATTTCTGGTTCTTACAAAATTATGTGAGAAGCATTTTATATGTAAAAATAATATGCACTTTGGAATCAGAGAGCTGGTATTTGAACCCTACTCTGCATTTTATAATCTGTGTCTTGAGCAAATTAGGAAATTGTTTTATTGTTTGTCTAGAATTTTTTTTGAAATTATGAACTTTTACATTTGAGGTATCACACAGAGCTTCTAATTGCTTAAAACTTTTCAGTGTGTTTACTATGACATAAATGTCTTCAACATTTTTTATCAGTATGCATATTCACAATTCATAGCCTAAATTATTTTACCTGCATATAGAACAATTTTTTTTAAAATGATACACAGATGAATTCTATTATGATTAAACATAGAAAACAAAAAGCAGGAAGGATTTTGAACTTGGAACAATGGGAAAGGGGAAGGAAAAAAACTGAAGAAAGCACATACGTTGTTCAAGTAAAAATTTCCAAATAGAAACAGAAACTAAAAAATGTCACTTATGAGTGAGCTCTACTATGGAGAGATAACGTTCAGTTATGTTCATTGCCATATCATAAAGCAGACTCTACAGGGTCGCTATGGGTCAGAATCAACTGGACGGCACTTAACAACAATAATTATCATTGCTTTTTTTTGCAACTTGATGGCAGTAAACAACAATAGTACTCTAAATTATTTTAATATGTGACTAAAAAGAAATTCAAAACAAATTTGTTTCACTAGACATGTAAAATTTTACAAAAGCATTCTAGTAAAAATTTGGAACTCCTTAAACTGAAGCTTGGTTATGTGCCATCGATTTTGATTTATAGTGGCCCTTTGTAGGGTTTCTGAGGCTGTAAATCCTTAAGAGAGCAGAAAGCCTCCTCTTGCTCCTACAGAGTGGCTGGTAGATGCAAACTGCTGACCTTGGGATTAGCAGCCCATCCCATAGCCCTCTACCCTGCCAGAGTTCCATTCTTAAACACAACAGTATTGTTTAAAAGGGGGCAGGTATGCAAAGAGCTTAGGTGAAATTTTCCAAGCTTAAGGTATTTTGGTGGTTTCTTTTTTTTGTAGCTCTTTTAAAATAGTTGATCATTATATGATATATAAGATTATATAATTAACTACATATACATATCTTCAGAGAGGATTCTAGAGTTAATGTGTTTACTGAAATATGCCTTTTAAATTTGAGATCCTCTAACCCATAGCTTGGAGTCCTGGTGTGGCATTGTGGGTTAATGCGCCAGACTGCAAAGCCGTTTGAACTGCAAGGTCGG